ATCTGTTCAGCTGGACATACATATATATATATAAGATAAAATAGAAGAGCAAACAGTAAAAAAGACGTATATATATATATGCATATATGAGAGTTTATTTGTTAGTTATGCCAAATGATTCAGACGATTGCAAATGACAAAGTAGCGTCGAAAACACACACACACACAGCGAAAGGTCTGCAGCGTGAAATTGTTTTGGTTTGTATTGAAATGTGCAATCTAACTGCATTTGTCATTTAGAACCGAGATTTGTCAAAACTAGAACAAAAAGAATAATTGAAGATAAGAAAATCCAGATGTTGTGGTCTCTGGTATGGTGGCAGTATAATATCCGTTGCAACAAGAACGAAAAGAATTAGGCGCAAGTTGAACAGAAGAGTATAATGATGGAAGTTTAATAGAGCAAATTTAATTATAAATTCTTTATGACTTCAAACGAAGCAGAATAATTTCATGTCAAGACGGCTGAAGATGATGGTTTGTTGTTGTAAAAGAACAGAAAAAAGTAAAGTAATCTAAAAAAAAGTAGGGAAACATGTTGTAAGATAAAGAAACGATCAAGAGAATTCAAAGATGCCTCTTTTGTTCAGCTCATACAAATTCTCCTCTTCTCTCTTCTCCTCTCTCTTCATCTTCTCATCTTCGACAGACATACCTGCGGTTCTCATCCTATCGCTTCTCCTTCTCCATCGAATCGGAGCCTTTGTGGATACCGACTTTGACGACCACATGACAATCGAGAAGCACGGTATCCAGGACACTTTAAGTCTCTGTGCCTTTCGTCTATTGTCTGAAAGTCGCATCGCCCACGGCTTCTAAAATGGCAATTAAACGACTCGAACTTTGGCACTGCCGCATTCACACAATGCACGATATTTGCAATAGCAGAAATGGGCATTCCACCGAGAATGTAGACTTCTCCAATTATACACTTGTCGAAGTGGCTGGAGATCTTGGAGGTTGGACGAAGGACGATCAGGCTCTCTCGTCCCAAAGGTCTCCAGATCCCTTACTTGTCCAAAATGTCACAATCCCGGTAGCCTCATGTGGATCGACACGATTGACTGTTCCAGAGTTGATAAATTCGATCAAGCAAAGCATGAGTAGAAGTGAGTTGACCTTATTGTCGCAACTTGATCTTGTTGTCAAGAGCACACCTAGTCCGAAGTCGTCTGCCATAATAGTTGTCATGATTCCCAGCATCAGACAGTCAACTTGGTACATTCTCAAACGTTTCGCCGGCATCGTAGTCGGCATCAGCAGTGAGTCTTTCCATTCTCAGC